CATTTACCCTGTTTGCATTTCTCCTTTTCTGTTTGTTATGGCCTGTTCACTTCTTCACCCACAACCCACATGGCCCAAGTGATATTTTGAGAAGAATAATGAGAATTGTTAACAGTGAAAAAAAAAAAAAAAGATTTTACACCATGGCCATGTGGGATTCATCGGAGCCATGCAGGGATGGTTCAACATATGCAAATCAATAAATGTAATACACCATATAAACAAAGCCAAAAATAAAAATGATACAATCATCTCAATAGATGCAGACAAAGTTTTTATTGTGAATGCTCACTCATAATAAAAACCCTACAGAAAATCAAAACATATGGTCTTTACCTTAATCTGAAAAAAGCCATCCATCACAAACCAACAGCCTGCATCATACTAAATGGACACAAGCTGAAAACTTTCTAAAATCAGGAACACGACAAGGGTGTACACTATAACCACTTTTCTGAAAACATTAGCCAGATCAAATAGACAGAAATGAAAGGAATAAAAATAGGAAAGCAAGAAGTTATATTATTATTTGCAGATGACATGATACTCTACATAAAAGACCCCAAAAATTCCACCAAAAGAATCCTAAAATTAGTAAGAAAATTCAGTAGCGTAGCTTGATACAAAGTGAACACTCAGAAATCAATAGCATTCCTGCATACAAACAGCAAAATGTCTGAGACAGAATTTAAAGAAACCTACCTTTCATAGTAGTATAAAAAAAAAAAAAAGAAGAAGAAATGAAGGAATCAAAGGAAGTAAAAGATCTCTACATTGAAAATTAATGTACTTTAAAACAAAAGAGGTCACCTTCCGCCACCATTGAAAAAGAGTATACATGGCCCTCTGCTATCCCATGGCCATGGACCTCAACAAGGGCCACAAGGTGACTAAGAATGTGAGCAAACTGAGGCATAGCCACCGCCGTGGACGTCTCACCAAACACACCAAGTTTGTGCGGGACATGATCCGGGAGGTGTGTGGCTTCGCCCTCTAAGAGCGGCGCGCCATGGAGCTGCTCAAGGTCTCCAAGGACAAGCGCACCCTCAAGTTCATCAAGAAAAGGGTAGGGACACACATCCGCACCAAGAGGAAGCGTGAGGAGCTGAGCAACGTGCTGGCCGCCATGAGGAAGGCAGCTACCAAGAAGGACTGAGCCTCTCTGGGATAAAGCTTTGCAGAAAGTTAAAAAAAAAAAGATGTCAAAGAGAACTTCAGAAAATGGAAAGAGGGGCCCTGCCCCTTAGCTCAGTTATTTAAGTGCCTACTTCAACAAAGCAGTCAGGCTCAGGTTGCTGTGCTTCGATCCCCATAACTCAAGCCAGCCAAACCTGCCCTGAAGGCATTCTAAGTCAGCCAAAAGAAAAGAAAAGAAAATGGAAAGATATTCCTTGCTAACAGATAGGAAGAACCAACATTGTGAAAATGGCCATACTCCCAAAACTATTACACAGATTTCATGCAATCCTGATCAAAATATCATTAGCATATCACACAGAACTAGAAAAAACATTTCTAAAATTCATCTGAAACCATAGAGACCTAGAATAGCAAAGGCAATCATGGCCAACAAAGACAAGGCAGAAGGCATCACAGTCCCTAAGATGAACTTGTACTATAAAGCTACTGTGATAAAATCAGCATGGTACTGGAAAAAAACAAAAAACCTGATTAGTAGAACAGACTAGAACATTCAGATACAACTCCAAGCAAGCACTTACTCCACTGAGCTATCTTCCCCGGCCCAGACACAACTCCAAACACACTCAGCCACCTACATGTTCACTGGAAGAAAGATAACCTCTTTAATAAATAGTACTAGAAAAACTGATTTTCTACATGCTGAAAAACTAAAACTAAACTCATGTTGATCACCATGCGCTGAACTAAAGTAAAAATGCAACAAAGATCTAAATACTAAAATAGCAAAACCAAGTCGACTAGAAGAGAAAGTAGGTAGAAATCTTAGACGTAAGGGTAGGCATAGGTTTTATGAACAAAAAACCAAACTGCATGAGAATTACTTCTAAGAATCAGCTGGGATCTTATTAAACAGTTTTTTCACTTCAAAAGAAATCACCACAGTGGAAAGAAAACCCACGAATTGGGAAAAAATTTTAGCCAACTGTCCCTCAGATAAAGGCCTACTATCTAGAACATATACATTTTAAAAATCAGGTCCCAAAAATCCAAAGACCCAGTCCAAAAATGGATATCTGAGATGTATACATACTTATTAGATGAAAAAATGCAAATGGCAAATAAATATATGAAAAAATGTTCAACAGCACTGATCATTGGAGAAATGCAAATTAAAACAACACTGAGGGGCTGGTGAGATGGCTCAGTGGTCTAAAGCATCTACTTAGAACAAGCTTGGCAGAGCACAGGGACCGCGGTTCAATCCCCAGCACCACATGCCGGCCAGCCTGCCCCCTGGTGGGCTGAGCTGGCCACACACACACACAAATAAATAAAATAAAAAATAAAAATAATTACAAAAACAAAAAAAAAAAAACAACACTGAGATTCCAACTCACCCCAGAAAAAATGGCTATCATAAAGAAATCAAGGGCTAGGGAGATAGCTCAGTGGTCTAAGAGCCTGCCGGGTAGTGGGAAGACCTGGGTTTGATACCTGGTACCACATGCCATGCCAACCTCAGAACCCTGGGTGCATTGTTCTGGCCACCGAAACTGGGCATGGTAATCTACGCTTGTAATCCCCAGCGCTAGGGAGGCTGAGACAGGAGGAGCTGTGTAGTGAAACCTTGTACCAAATAAATAAATAAATAAATAAATGATAGTTTTTTTAAAAAGCAATAACAAATGCTGGTGGGGCTTTGGGGGAAAGGAACCCTTCTCCATTGTTGATGGGAGTGTAGACGGCACTATCACTGTGGAAATCAGTGTGGATATTCATCAAAAAGCTAGGATTTGGCCAGGGAGATAGCTCAGTGGCATAAGCACCTGCCTGGCAAGCACAAGGTCCTGAGTTCAATCTGTAGTACTGCACTGAAAGAAAAAAAAAAAGCTACAATTACAAGTCCCATTTGGCCCAGCTATTGCCTTTTTGGATATTTTCCCAGAAGAAATGAAAGCACTATACCACAGTGATATGTGTGCACCCATGTTTATAGCAGCACAGTTTGTCGTAGCTAAATCTTGGAAGCAACCCAGATGTCTATGAACTGAGGAATGTATAAAAAAAGATATACTTTTAGACAGTGATGTACTACTCAGCTATAACAAAAGATTAACGCAGGTCTTTTAGGTAAACAGATGTAACTAGTGACTATACTCATAAGTGAAATAAACAAGGCCCACATGTGTAAACACTGTATTGTCTCTCTAGCGTAAGAAACTGAAAGAGTAAATAAGCTCCAAAAGGTGCAATAAATATTGTGAAAAGGAAAGAAACTGCTCAAAAGGAAAGAACAACAGAGATGGATAAGAGAAAAGATACATATATTGCCGGGGAGATGGCTCAGTGGAATAGGTGCTTGCCTGGCAAGCGCAAGGGCCTGAGTTCAATCCCCGGTTC